CTCCAAGCTGGCAGGACTTGCTGCCCTCCCTCCTCCCCTCTCCAGAAACACTCGGTGCCTTTCCATTTATCACTACTGACCTACATTTTTTTCCCCGGAGCCTTTCGGGAAGCATCAGGCTCCCCCCGCGTTGCCTGGGGTGTCCCCACGGTCCCTTCCACGGGCAGGGCACCCTTCACTCCGCGTCCCAACCCTGCAGAGCCCATCCCTGGTGCTCAAGCACCCTCTTGACATTTTTTCCTCTGCTCTAGAGCTCCTCAGACTCCGTCACGGGACTGTTTGTGCTTCCCAAAGCAAACAGAGGCGGGAAGGTGCGGCCACCCTGAGGATGCTCCGGAGGGAAAGGGTGGGGGGGGGTCGGCAGGGAAGGGGTTAAGCGGGTTATAAATTACCCTTGGATGTGGAAATGTGACTGAGAGGAATAGAAAGCAAACTCTGCCTGCTGGATTCTTTGCATTTCTTGCCTCTTTATTTTTCCCCCAGGTCACTTTAAAAGGATGCAGGCAGTCGAGGCAGCTCGGCTGCGCCTCTCCTCCCGCTTTTCCCGGGGTTTGGGTTTTTTTCCTTGTTTGTTTTTTACACCCTGGCCCTTGAGCCAGATGCTGTCTGCGTCCAAGGATTTTATGGAGTGAGCTCTGGCTGGGAAATCAAGTAATTAGATTAATTCGGGGCCCTGGTGACACATGATGGAGGGAGGCGGGAAGGTGGCGGCCGATGGGAAGCTGGACCGAGGATGCTCAGAGCGGGTTTGGGGATGTCCCCAGGGTCACCCGCGTCCGTGAGGGGGGAGACACGTCCCGCCTGGCGGAGCAGAGAGTCCGTGGCAGGCAGCCGGGCCCCACGGGCAGATCCTGCACCCGGCGGGGCAGAGAGGCCCCGGGAACGGAGCCACGCCGGGGGGGCAGCCGAGACCCCCGAGAGCCCGGGCCGGGCTCCGGGCTGGGTCCGCCCCGGGCCGGTGCTGTGAGCCGGCGGCTCGTGGGCCGAGCGAGCAGCTCTAAAGGTCAGCGGCAAAGGGCAGCGCCGAGCGCAGCCGCCGCTGACTCAGAGCGCGGCCCCGCGGCTCGGTCACCTCCGGCTGCCCCCGGGCGGGTCCCGGCGCCACCCTGGCACTGCCCGGGGCTGGGGACACCGTCCCCTCACCCTGTCCCCGTGCCACAGGTGCCGCTGTGAGCTCCCTGTGGTGGCAGCCCGCGTGTCCCGGGTGACACCAGTGGGGACCGACGCTCCCCTCCTGGCGCCGCTGTCCCCCCGTCTTCCCCCTGCACAGCTTCCTGACGGTGCCTCTGCCACCCAGAGCCACCCACGTCCCCTGTGCCAGCGCCGGGGGGGGGGTCACCCCCTCCCCGGGTCCCCACCCACGCCTGGCTCCCCCGAACCCCACGAATCGCGCGGGGGGAAGCGGAGGGGGAAGGTCCGGGCAGTGCAGGTGGGCAGCCGGGGTGGCCGCTGCTCCCGGCTCCGGCCCCGGCTCCAGAGGGGGAATTTCTCCTTTCCGCAGCACCCAGGGCTGGCTGCGGTCCCCGGGGGGCTTCCCGGGGGGCGCGGGCGGTGGGTCGGGATCGCGGGCGGCCGCCGGCCCCCGGGGCAGCCGTGATTCACTCGGCCAGACTGCGGCCGCTGGGGCTGAAGTTTCTCAGGCTGGGTGGCTCCCGGAGCCTGACATTTTTGGGAAATTTCAACAAAAACAGTTCAGAAGCTTCCAAAAAACAGGACGATGGGAAAAGGCATTGTTTGGGCTCCCTCCCCCTCTCGTTTTTTATTGTGTTTTCCAATCTCTGCAATCCCTGCCGGTGCCCAACACCTCGGAGCCCCACGCAGCGTCACCCCCCGACTCCCCCCACCCCGGGCCACCCGGGTGTCCCCTGCCACCCTCCACCTCCCTTCCCGGCAGGGAGAGGTGTCCCCTCTCCTCACAGCCGGGCACACGCCACACGTGGGGACAGTGACTTGGCCAGGACCTGCTGTCCCGGGGTCCCTGACCTGCCTGGGGGTCTGCAAAGCTCTCGGTGCCACCGAGACCCCGGGCGGGGGCACCAGGGGGACACTGGGGGATGCCCAAGGGGGGGTGGCTTTGTCCCGGTGCTGGTGGCACAACCGGACACGCCACCAGCCCTGGGGACAAAGGCAGCCCCGGTCTGGGGGGGACTTGAAGCCATTTGGGGTGGTTTGTCCACTTCTCCGGGGCTTTGAGGAGGAAAGCCCAGAGATGCTGGATTCGATAGAAAACATCGGGATTTATGGGATGATATTCCTGCTTTCGACCCAAAAATAAGTAATAACAGGGCTTTGGATCTTAAAGGCGCTTGGAGCGTGGGGAAGCCGCGGCGGGGGGGGGCCCGTTCAGCGGCGAGAGCGGCCCCGGGGGCGCGGGAGGGTCCGCGCGTGAGTCACCCGTGGGCCGGCGGCCCCGGAGCGGCTCTTACTCACCTACCGGGGGGGTCGGGGGGAGCGGGACACCGGCCCCGGGGACGGCTGAGGGGGGGTCCAGCATCCCGCGGTGGCAGCGGGCACCGGGCGGGGGCCGGTCCCGGGGCCAGTCCTGGGGTCTGTCCCGGGGCCGGTACCGGAGCGGGACGGGGAGGGGGGGGGTAGCGGGGCCGGTGGCTTTCTGCCCCCCCGGGGGCGGTCCCGGGGCGGGGCCAGGGCGGCAGTTGGGGCTTTGGTAACCGGGGGTTGCTCAGACTTGCTCGGGACTTCCCCGGACGTGCCGGTGCGCTCCGCCGCCCCGGGCACCGACGGGCACCGGAGCAGGCCATGCCGCCGCCGCCGCTGCTCCCGATGCTCCCGCTGCTGCTCGCGCTCTGCCCGCGCCTGCCCCGCGCCGACCCGCTCTCCTGTGAGTACCGGCAGCACCGGGCGGCTCCCGCAAGGTGGGCGCGGGGCGGGCGGGGGTCCCGTCGGGGCCACGCGGGCGCTGCGCGGAGCCCCCCGGGGCTCTCCCGGCCGGCTCCGGCCCCGGCGTGCGGAGCCCCCCGAGGTTCCCCCGCTCTTTTCCGCGTGCCCCGTCCCCCCCGCGCCGGTGCCGGGATGCGGAGCCCCCCGGGGCTGTCCCGTTCCTCTCCGTGTGCCGCGTCCCCCCCAGCCCCGGGATGCGGAGCGGTCCCGGGCGCGGCGGGGGCACCGCCGGGCGCACCTCGGGGCTGCGCTTCTCCTGCTGCGGAGGAGGACGGGGACCCCCCTCGCGGAGGGTAGCCGGGACCCCCCATCGCCTCCGGACAGCCAGCCGGGACCCCCCATCCCCGTCCCCGCAGCCCAGCCGGGACCCCCCCGCCCCTTCCCCGCAGAGAACAATAGAGGAACCTTTTTTGTGCTGCCCCCCATCCCCGAGAGTAGCGAGGCGAGCCCCCCTCCCCCGGAGCAGCGAGTGCTCCCTCTCCCCACGGAGAACGGGGACCCCGAGAGGGGCCGGCCCCCCTTGTCCCCCCTCCCCGCCGTCCAGCCCCCCCTCCCGCAGAACAATGCGGCTCCATTCCCCACCCAGGACAATGGAAACCCCCGGCCTCCGCCCGGAGAACAATAGCGAACCCCTTCCCCACGCGACCCCCTCACACCTCCGGGAGCCACCGCCTCCCTCTGCGCCCCCCAAAGCCCCTGAGACCCCCCCTCCCCCTGCCGAGAGCAACGGGGTCCCCCCTTCCCCCCGGAGAGCCGCCCCCATCCCAGAGAACAATGAATCCCTTTTTCCCACCCAGAACAAAAAGCATCTCCCTCCCCGCCCCACGGAAAGAACGACCCCCCCCCAAAAAAAAAAAATCCCCCAGGGGGCCCCGCAGTGATGCCCAATTTGGGGGCCCCACCCGGCGGCGGCAGGTCCGGGAGGTGCCACCTGTGGAGCGGCCTCAGCCTCGCGGGGATGGGGGTCCCCGCGGCGATGGGGGGACGCACGGGGCAGGGGTCTCCCCTTCCCCACAGCGCCCGAAACCCGACGGACCCCCCGTGCCGGCCGCCGCCCCGCTGCCCCCGCCGCGGGCCGGGCCCGGCGAGGGCGAGATGCCGCTCCCCGCTCCCCCAGCAGGAAGTTCGGCTTCCTCCCTATGATGGGAATTTCTCAGCGCGATGGATGTTCTCCGCTCCGACGCGCGAACGGGACCCGCCAGGAACGGCTCCGCCGGCCCGGCGGCTCCCGCGCCCCCTCCCCGGCCCCGCCGCGGACCCCCGGCCCAAGCACGGCCTGAACGGGGGAGTCCCGAGCGCCTCCATCGGGGCAGGGATTCCCGGAGCAGCGGGCTGGGGAGGAGGAAAAACGCTCCAAAAATCCCTTTAGGGGCCGGCAGCGGGAGCGGCCGGGGCTCCCGGTGCCCACCCCGGTGCCCACCCCGGTGCCCACCCAGCGCCGGGAGGGGCTGATCCCACCGGGGACGAGGCCGGACCCGCGGGGGGCTGAGCCCGCACCGCTCTCCTCCCAGCGAGCCGGCTCCCCCCGGACCCCCATTTCCCCCTCCCCACGGGGGTCCGGGGCAGCGCTGCCCCCGCGGCCCTCGACGTGCGGCGCTGGCGAAGGCGAAGCCAAATCTCCTTTTAGAGAGCGAAAGTTTCCCCTCGGTGCAGCTCGGCCGCGCTGGAATGCCTGGGCTTTTTATAAATCCCTCCTCGAGCCCAGGGATGGGCACGAGAAATGCCACTCGGGGATGGGAAAGCGGGGAAAAAAAGACTGGAGAGCACGGTAGAAAAGAGGGATAAAGCGTTTTTGGGTACCGTGTCTGCCCGCAAACCCCGCTGCTCGAGTTTTAGAAGAGCTCAAACTACACATATATATTTAATTTTATTTTTCCTGCGGAATTCAGAGCTTCCCAAATTCCCCTTTTGTTCTTCAGGGCAATTATTTCTATTTTCCTTTAACCCCCTGCACAGCTCAATAAATCTTTTTTAACCGCGTGATCTCTGACACTTATCGAAGCTTTCTTTTTTTTTTTTTTCCCTCCCCCCTTTTCTTTCCCAACCCCTTAAAACTCCGATCTAAAACTAAAATGAAATCCGGCCCTTCGGAAGAAAAGCATAAACGTTCCCGACACCTTGGAAATGTGGTTTTACTTTATAGCATTACTTAGCACCTGATCAGCATTTTTTTTTTTTTTTTTTTTTTGCGATAGAGAAGCCATAAAACCCCCGAGCAGGTATTTGCGTTGCAACTTGCACATTCCACAGCCTGCCTGCCTCTCTCCGGCCCTTTCCTCTCCGATCGGAAAACTTCACACTTTTCCCTTTTAAAACACATGTTCGGCGCTGCGGCCGTGCTGAAGGGGGAAAATAATTCCAGGGGGAAAAAAATAGAATATATATATGTATATAATTGGTCCCTCCAGAGGCTCCTGCTTGGAGGAGGGGGGAAAAAAACCCAAAATCCAGGGGAAAAAAATACAGAGAGAGAGAAATTTAGCCCTTCCAGAGGGTCGTGCTCGGAGGATGGGAAACGTGTCTGTTTTACGGTGCTCGTGTGAGTTTCCGGGGCTGTTTCCATGAAGATTTAGGAGAATCGGGCTCGGAGCAGCTCCGGGCTCGCCTGGTGGCGGGCTCGGAGCGGGGTGGGCTCGGTGGCCGAGAGGCGGATGAGATTTCCTGAGGCCTTGCTGGCCTCGGCAAGGGTTTGTTCAGGGGGCTGGGATGGATCCAGCACCAGCCGCGGATGCTCGGGGTGTCCCGGAGTACCCAGCCCCGTCCCGCCCATGTTCGGCGTGCCCGGCACCGACCCACGGCCGCTCGGGGCACCGCGGGGTGCCCGGCACCGACCCCTGGGTATTTGGGGTGCCCCAGGCTGCTTTTCCCCGCTGGATTGTTCCTCCCCCTCGGCAGCATCCCCCAGGCACGGCCGCGGCTCCTAATTAAGGCTCCCCGGCGGAAGGAGGATTCGGAGCGCTAATTGCGGGTGGGGGGGTGGGGGGCGCGGAGCGGGCGGGGGGACCCCTCGGTAGGATTTTGGGAGCGGCGGGGACCCCTCGTTCGGATCTTGGGAGTGATGGGGACCCCGCTTTAGGATTTTGGGAGCGATGGGGACCCCGCTTTAGGATTTTGGGAGCGATGGGGACCCCTCGTTAGGATTTTGGGAGCGAAGAGGACCCCGCGTTAGGATTTTGGGAGCGATGGGGACCCCTCGGTAGGATTTGGGAGCGGCGGGGACCCCGCGTTCGGATTTTGGGAGCGATAGGGACCCCTCGGTAGGATTTTGGGAGCGGCGGGGACCCCTCGTTAGGATTCTGAGAGCGATGGGGACCCCTCG